TTTTGGAAAAAGCGACCCAGAGTATTGAGAATCACCTTAATCAAAGTTAAATCTGAGTAGTTAAAGAGAAAAATCTATAATTATTAACTAGCTAGCCAATTAGCTATTTATAGGCTACACTTAACCAGTTGGATTAAAATGTCAAGGATATTCAGGGACTTTCTTAACTTGGGGAAAGGTGCTTTTATCTTGCTTTTTTTTCTCCTCTTCCTCCTTTTTCCTCTTTCTTTTATCTTCTCCTGAGGGATACATCCTTTTTTGAGACATTTTGCAGATCAACCTGCTCTTGGGATGAGCTCTGCTCTGCAGCAGCACTGAGCTCAAAGCAGAGGGAGTAGAATCACAACACCAGCAGAGCTCTGCTTACTTAATACTGGGTTATTATACAATGATATAACTTTGATAATACATGGGTAATCACTCAAACATGCAAAAAATGTAGTCTAATTTTAATAATGAAAGTGTACAAATATTTTTTAAAAAGTTAACTGCTCTTGGGGGCCCCCTACTGGTGACCAAAGGCCTAAGCAGGCACGTAGTTCGTTTATGCCTTAGGCCAGCTCCGAAATCTGTTCATAACTTTTTCAGCTGAAACATAGCCTACAACCAAGGAGGTTATGTTATCTGTTTTCTGTTGGTTGGTTGGTTGGTTGGTTGGTTGGTTGATTTGTTTGTTTGTTTGCTAGCGATTGTAGTGGGAGCATCTGTGTCTGGGAAAGTTTGGTATTTCCAGATGGCCCTTGAACACACCATCAGATTTAGGTCAGCTCCTCCCATTGCCCAGCCCCTGATTGAGGGTATTTAAAGCACCTGTGGCATCATGGCTGCCCTTTTGTCTCTGTTTGAGTGCCACATGGGCTCCTTGTGACTCTGAGGTTGGTGTGTTGTCAGGATTGTGGACAGGGTTTTGACTGTTTCAAGCTTTAATTCATTTGCATGATGATGACATTCGTTTGTTTGACAGTCTTCCCTGAGTACTGGTGTCTGTTTGGTTGAAGTTTATGCCAAGTTTGCCTGCCTTGGCTTAATGTGGATGTTGCTGATTTCCCTAGTATCCGTATAACAAAGACCGTTACACAAAGGTATGAATATTCTACTCAGCAGTTAATAAGGGTGACTGTTAAAGGTAATTTGTTATAACCATGTTATAATCATGTTATAAGCCTGTTGTTAACATGTAATGTCTTTTGTTGTGTTGTAGGGTTTTATCAGCTGCTGTTTTGCCTTTGTTTGCTCTTGGTTGCCTCAGTTTGTCCTTGTCTGTCTTAGTTTGGCTGTGTTAGCCCTTTGGTTGTATTTTAGATTGAACGAACTGGTTTTATGACAATTCCCATAAGCTGGTGGACAAGGTTGCCGGCTGGTGGTGGAGGTTGGGCGTTGTGTGGTTTTCTTTCACAGCTTGTAGTGGTAAGAGCACTGGGGCACCTTATCTTACACCGGTGTGGTAGTCCTGACAGATTGCTGTGCGCTCACGAGTGGTTGGTGGTTTGTTTCACCTCTGGACATTTAAGTAATTGGCCACCTTTCTCCCCCCGCTGGCTTCCATCCACTTAGCTCTCTCTCCAGGTTGATTTTATTCTGAAAGTGTCTTTTTTTTAAAAATAGTTTTATTGTTAAACAGAATTACATTAATTAAGTAAATATCTTGGTGCATTTCGATGGTTTGATTTGTTTTTGTCCTGGCTTTTAGGTTGCCTCTCCAGCAGGCACTCCAGAAATGTAGTTACTAATCAACCATTCCACCAAAAATTCAATAAACTGCAATTTCTTTGGATTTAAACCACATCTCTGTCTTCTCTCAGCAAACGGACTTGTGTGACCTTTGTGACCTGTGTGACTAATTGTGGTAGTTTACATTTAACTTGTAGTTCCTGGGGTGAGAGTCCCCAGGTGGCGTTGTTGGGTTCTCTAGATACTGGTACAGCTCACGTATTACTCTCTCTTACGCCCCACTCCCCCCTTGATCTAACCTTGCCACACAAGATAACTCGAAAAGTGAAGTTAGTCTTTACTGAAGCATTTTGGATTCTATTTAAAGGGGAGTTTTCCTTCGCACTCTAGCCAAAGAGAATTGTTTGGATTTGTTAGCTTTCCTTACATAATTCCTTACTACACTGTCTATTCATCCATTATCTATACACCCCTTAATCCTCTGTAGGGTCGTGGGGGAGCTGGAGCCTATCCTAGCCGCTTAGGGCAAAGGCAGGGGACACTCTGGACAGGTCACTAGTCTACACTGTAAATGAATAAACCTTTAAAAAAAGCAAACCTCAACTGAAAATATTGTAGTTTTGTCGATTCACTCACATATCCCTGGCTGAGTGCTGCTTTTTTGGAATTCTCCCCGGAGAATGAGAGGGTTGCCTCTCTGCGACTGCATGTTGTGGAGGGGAAAACAACTCCTTGCCTGGAGACTCCATAGTTCTCTTGGGAGACTTAAGCACTCACGTGGGCAGTGATGGAGAAACCTGGAGGTGGGTGATTGGGAGGAACGGCCGAGGAAGTTCCGTTCGATGTCTCAGAAAAGGGAGGCAGGGTTTGCGTACAGATGGGAAGGAGAATTGTTGATCCGGACTGGGGACATTGTTGGGTTGGTGGAAGGAGCACTTTGAAGAACTCCTTAACCCGGTCATCACATCCTCTGCTGAGGAAGCAGAGCCTGAAGACTCAGGGGAATCTTCGCCTATATCCATGGTAGAGGTTGCTGAGGTAGTCAAAAAACTCCTCAGTGGTCAAGCACCAGGTGAATGAGATTCACCCCAAGATGCTGAAGGCTCTGCTCATTGTTGGACTGTCTTGGCTGACACGTCTCTTCAATGTCCTGTAGGCGTAGGGTACAGTGCCTGTGGAGTGGCAGACTGGGGTGGTGGTTCCCCTTTTTCAAAAGGGGGACCAGAGGGTGTGCACCAATTATTGGGGTATCACACCCCTCAGCCTCCCCAGGAAAGGTTGGGAGCTGGCTTATAATAATATACAGTGCCAGTCAAGTCTTTCAAAACAACTGCTCAATTGAGCATTTTTCCTAATTTTATACGATTTTAAAAATAGTAGAAAAAGCAAACAAAAAAAACATGGAAAAAAAATAGTAATCAAAACTTTGAAATGACATGTTGGAGTTATGTGTGTTTTGAAAAGGTATTAGTATGCCTTAGTAACAATATTATCAATGGATAAACCAATCAAAATTTTAAGTAAAAATAACTGTGGGTATATTTATAGAAACATATAAACATTATTTAAAATAAACCGCAGTTCCTTAACCGGAATAAAAATGGCTGCAAAACATAAAATGCAGATTTTTAAGTGGTCTGTACAGATTAATACGAGAGTGATCAAATAATCAAGTATACTTTGCACATGTCCACACTGTCCTGAGAGATCTAACCAGGTACAATTGATAATCAAAACATCTGTGTGGAGCCTTTAAATCAGGGGTCTCAAACTCAACTTACCTGGGAGCCGCCAGAGATAGAGTCTGGGTGAGGCTGGATCAAGTATTCCACAAAAAAAGGGTTTCAAGTATTCAAAAAAAGTAAAACTGATCCAATCTTCTCAATCTTTATTAATAACAATTCAGATGTGATTCAGATGATTCACATGTGCAGAAGTCATTCACACTCACAAGACGCAAATATTTGACAGCAGATTTATTAATGTTGACACTTATCTCTCTTCAGCAGTGACCAGTGTTCACATTTACATTCAAGATTTTATTTTGCAGAGTTCACTACATACAGCATGGTTACTAAAACATCAATAACACACTTTTAATTTGAAATGTACATGATCGTAAAATACTTACTCAGTAGTGCAAATACTGTTACAGTCTTTGGAATTCCTCTGACAAGAAGCATTTCGCAACTGAAAAGGCAGTGCCACGCTTTTGATTGTAAAAGGCAGTAAAATCTAAAGGGTAAACACTTTATAAAGAGGATGTCTGGAGACAACTTTGGGAATAATTTTAAGTTTTGGCTTGAGATGTTCAGTGTAATGTGCTCGTGTTACCGGGGTATCACGCTAAAGAGATGAAAACAGCTCCACTAAAGGGGACCTATTTCAATTAGTCAATCAACTGAAAATCCACAAGTCATTTTTTAAAGTAAGAATGCCAGAATATGTTGGCTCTTGCCATTTTCTCAGATTTGTATGATTGTAAACTGAATACCTTCACATTTTCTGAGTATTTGTAATCGACTCAGTGAGAGATTCAGTGCCAGATTAATGAGTAATGAAAGTAAAGGTTAAATGCAGCCCTACATATACTTCCTGCCTCCTAGAGTAAAGGTGCATGTCGCAATTACACAGGCCAGATTGCAGCATAAAGTAAATCATTGTGCAGATTAAGACCAAAGGTCAAGGCACACGTAGAACGAAATTAAAAATCGTGAGCTTTGGTGTAAATTGGTTGTAGTGTCATGTGTCTTAATGTTCTTTATCACAATCTGTGCAGATGCCACCAGTTACATGCTGGTAAATCTTAAGCACGGAAACAAAACGTATTATTTTACATCTATGGCTGCAGATAATATAATGAGCAAAAATCACTGTGGTTCGTCTGTAAAAAGTGCTGAGTTGATTTAAAAAAAAAAAAAAAAAAGTCCAACAGTAGCTGATAAAATTCCTGCTCAGGCAACACTGAATTCTTTTAGATAATAAAATCCAGCAGAGAAATAAATACCACAGTGCAGTCGAGGAACATCTTCTTAGCTTTTGGATCTCACTGTTCAGAGGCTCCAAGAGGGATTTTTAAACTCTATCTTGTGGCGTGTTGCCCATTTGGCATAGATGGCTTTCTCGGTGATGAAGCGATGGCCGCCACGCTTCGTGTGCTCGTGGACTTTGTACATCCTGCACTCGTTGATGCGGTTTCGCTCGTAGTAATGGTAAGGAACGACGCTGTGATTGGCTCGGCTGTCAGGAAGAGGAAGCGCCAGTTGTAGGTGAAGCTTATTCAGTAAATGTGACTGAATATATACACACACACATACACACTGTATATACAGGTCGAGAATAGACCACAAACGCCTCACCTGCAGTAGTTATCGTCGATCATCCCGTAGACTTGGATGGTGTCACACATGTCTAAAGCCAGAATCATTGTGAAGAATCCAGTGCTGAGAAACGCCCCCGTTTTCATTCTGGGTGAGAGACAGCAAACATTTGCTCTTGAAAAATGCATATCCAAAAAAAATAAAAAAATGTCAAGAAAATTGGAACCAGTCACAAACTGCATATCACAGCTCATCCACTACAAAGCTTATATTTTTATTCAGTTGTGTTTATTATTAAGTTTGTATTTGGTGACACTAGACTGCACTGCACACCCCATTTCCATACATGAGGAGGACAAAATATTAGGAACTATTTTCAATATTATGCATCCAGTACACCACCACCTACTACAACCTCAATATTAACCATAAAATATAACTTTATTTTATTTGACCTTTATTTTACCAGGTAAAAATGTTTGAGAACCGGTTCTCATTTGCAAACATGACCTGGCCAAGAGGTGCCAGCAGGAACAAATACACATGTAAATTATAGACACATAAACATAACATAGAACAAAATTAAACAAGTAAGAAGCATGGGGGCATATGCATGTGAGTGAAAAACGATGTGCATGAGGTGTAAGAAAGTGTGTGTGTGTGTGTATATGTAAGTATGTAAAGTCTGGCGTGATCAGCAGGAGCAACAGTCAACTACAGTCTGTTGGATTTTAAGCTTGAAGGTGGTCAGCGGAGTCAGAGTTGCAAGTTTCAGAGTGTTTTGTAGAGGTCGCAGGGGTGAGTGTGGACGGGTGCATTAGTGGCAAAGTGGATGGCTGAGTGATAAAGAGTGTCCAGCTTTTTGTGCACGGTGCTTATAACTGTCACCTTTCTGACAAAAACAAAAAATGAAAGGAAATGTATTTGTGCTTTGTGATTGCACAGAGCGGATGCATTGCAGACTTACCTTTTCAGTCTGGCTTTTTGATTGGTTTCTTTTATTTGTCTACTTTTTATACATTTCAATCTATGTTATCTGTCTTTTATCGTGTCATTTCTCTGTTGTTTCCTTATTTCTCATCTGAATTTTCGACTTATTTTGTCTCTGGGGTTTCCTCATTCTGAGTTGATGAGATTAATTTATGATAGTTTCCTCAGTCCTTGTTTTCATTGAGTCTTTTGTTTATAACACAGTTGTTTATGTGAGATTTGAAGGGAGTGTAGGTTAGAGGGTTGCTGTTGTTTTTCCTGTAAAGCCCTTTGTATAAAAATGTACATCTATGAACATTGCTATGCAAATTCAACTGGACTGCACAAGATTGCACATGGGTTTGCTTTTAGTTTAATAATAATTATCTCATTCGCTGTAAACATTCAAATGTCTTAGTTTAAAGTGTGTTCAGGCATTGTAAAGGCACCAGTTAAGGTGTAGAAAAAAACAACACGTTGATTAATGCTTCATAAGGTTTACAGGGAGAGTGCTATTTGAGTTCAGCTCAAGCAGAAACTCAACAAATATTATCTCTGGGTTTAACTAAAGTGTCAAGTCAGCTAACTTTATGTTCTTATGAACCGCCTGATGTTAACAGATTTGTTTAGGCTTATAACTTGTAATTTATGTCATGCACTTCTTTATTTGTGTACTCTTCTGCATCAGTTTTTGATTTCTTACACTGGGATGTCCCATTTGTAGTTTACCTGTTTTTTCCTGTTTCATTCTGAAACACGTTGTCGCAGTACTGAACCCTGTCTTTGGTCACAGCGTATATTTTGGCGTTTGGATACTTGGTGGCCATTTTCAGGAGGAGATTGTAGATGCGTCCCTTCCCGTCTTGCCTCATGTTCTTCTCGGGACCCCAGAAGATGTAAGTGGTGTTTGCGGACTGTTGGAAATAATAGCGCTCATTTCTGACCAACAGGGGAGCACTGGTGTGAGACACGACCCGGACGCTGGTGCGACTCCCGACGTCTGTCTCAAACCCCCGCGTGGGCGCGTTGTTCATCCTGATGACGCATGCAGTTTTGTCGATCTCCTCTCCGACGCCGGCTCCGAGCATCTGACCCGAGCTGGAGACCAAGGCACACTGGTTGCAGTGCTTGTTCAGTAGCTGCTGAGTGAAACAGGCAAGATGTGAACGTTTTAGTTTATTGCATTTGAATACATTAGTGACACAGTTATGGCTCAGTTGTTGTGCTGCCAGATCTATATATCTACCATGTGTGACTATGAAGCCAGACCTGCTGCTTTATCTTGATCATTACTGTAATTTAAAACTCCAGTAGGAGGATTATTGTCACCAAAGTGCTCTCTCAAAGGAAATCACTGGAGTCGTTGGGTTATTCTCTATAATATAAGATTGTCTCGTATGGTCTTGAGCTTGGCATGTGAAATACCCTGAAATAACCTGCTGTATACTGTGAATTATCACTTTATAGATGTGTTTTTATTTATTGAGCACTATTTAACCAGGTTAGTCCCATTGAGATCAGAGATCTCCTTTACAAGGGAGACCTGGCCAAAAGGGCAGCAGCATAGTCACAGGAAAACCAATAAACAGCAGATAAAATTTAACAACATTAAAACATGCTCACTGATAAGGTGGACTGTAATGACTTCACCCGAACTTTAAACTCATTTGGTGTAAGAAGGGCTTGAAGTTGAGATTGTAATTTATTCCTAGCATTAGGTGCAGAAAACCTGAACGCTTTCTTGCCCAGTTCAGATCGTACTTTGGGGACGACAAATTGCAGAGTATCCATAGATCGGAGATTGTGACTTCCATGTTTTCTTGTTAAAAGACGAGACAAATAGGAAGGAACAATACCTAGAATGGTTCTGTAAATAAACACATAATGACTGAGACGTTGGGCACTTAAAGATGTCCAGTTAACTTCAGAACAGAATTATTTAGAATAAATAAAACTGTACTGAACTGAACTATGTTTGCATCTAACATTGTTAGAACAATGTCACAGCCTTCCTCTGCATGTGTAGCCACAACAAGGCAGTGAAACACGAGGTCAGTGGAAATAAGGATGGTAAGGACTGACAACACAGAGCAACTTTGGATGTAAAACATGGATCCAGACCGATATGCTTGTGCACATCCTGAGTCATCCAGATCATTGTGATTCTAGGAGCTTCGCTAAAAAGCAAGTAGACTTGAAACTGATGAAGTTCTAACTGATGGAGGACCTCAGATGCACATCAGCTGCTCATCATGAGCCACCCAGCTGTGCCACAGCTCTAGAGGCTGATCCGTGGCCCCAGCAGGGTCCCCCCAAAGGATCCCCTCACCTGCTCCACCCTGCCGCGGCTGATCCTCCTGTAGCCCTGGAGCCCGGAGCTCCGAGCGGCAGGAGACACGTCGTCCCGGGTGATCACATGTGCGAACCAGTAGAGCAGCGGGAGGCTCAGGCTGAGCAGGCAGAGGCCGCGGAACATCTGCAGGGGGTCGGGCGGAGACAAAGAGGGCGGTTTACGGCTGTGCACATCCGGACAAGTACTGAACATTTAGTAGTAAGTGAATACACACACTGAATAGTCTACATGACTGACCAGAGCTTTCATATCGAGGCCTTTAGGGAAGCCCCTCTCTCTCCACAGGACCCGTCGGCTCTCATTCTTCGAGCCGGATCAACTTGAGGCGACAAAGACGAGCCCAGCTATCGTCGAGTCACGCTCGTGCCAAGTTCCATTGCTCAAGATTTTATTGCTTTCTCGAGGTCAAGTCAAGATGTTTGTTCTTTTCGACGTAGCTTTGAGTTTCATCGCCCGGCGGACCACAGCTCCACTCTTCTGGTCTAATCTAAAGCATGCTTACATCAACTACTATGATAAACCCTGATCAGTTGTTTGTTGTTGTTGTTCCAGCCGCTATACCGACGCACACAGCAGCAGCCTACAGGTTCGGAGGACCTGCATTGTAAAGTTACACAGTGTTCCTCCGGGCACAACAACACTTCCTCACTGGGACTTTCACAACAAAAGCACTGAGACAGGGTTACCATATATATCTTACTTATATACTTATAAAACTTATATCTTCATTTTTATATGCTGTGTTTGCACTATTATTTTTATATGTGTATTTTATATGTGTGTTTTTTTCATGTTTGTACTATTTCTTACATGTACATTTTTCTTTCTAGTGTGTGTGTACTACAGCGCGTAATTTCTCCACTGTGAGATAAATACAGGCATATCTTATCTTATCTCATATACACAGAAAATGTTAGCACAAGAGACGTCAAAGCACTTATTATAATTTTGTATTTTAGCTTTAAAAAAGAAAAAAGAAAGTGCCCTGCCATTGTGTATTGATGTGAGCCATTTTTAGCAGCATAAATTAACTGCACAATTACAGATGCTGTATATTAATAGGTTAAATAATAAATATAATCAGAAATACAATTATTAATCAAATGGGAACTCTACACTAAAAACTGATGTTAGGATCATTCTGTAAATACACACAACTATAGCATCCAGTGGCATCCGAGGCTATAACCCAAAATTGTTTATGAATAACCCTGATTTGCTTTATTTCTGGCTTAGAAAATAGTCAGATCTCCTGCTCAGCACAAAAAAGGTAAAAGCAGCAAAAACACTTTCAAAGTGTAAAGAGGAAGTCAAGTGTCACTCATTATTCCATTACCATTGCTATTGATAATTCCCTTACTTTTTCTGTCTGCCAGACCCCTCATCCTCTATCAGACCACTTGATTCAATCCCCTTTTGTTCTCTTACCTGTTGTCATTGATTAGCAACTATATAGGTCACCAGAGCCCCCAATTCAATCACCTTTTGTTATTGTTCTCCTACCTCCTGTCATTGATTAGCAACTATATGCTAACTAACCACTATTCACTTTGGTATTTACATACAGCCCCTCCCTATAAAATGTGCAACTCTGCACTCTGGGTCGGCTTACTTTCACACACTCTGTGTTGGTATGCCCACCGTACACCAGAATACTAACAAACACCTCACCACATCAAACTTTGCATGAAGTCGATGGGTAAATTTCTTCAACAGCAGTATGCAACATAACAAACATAACAAGAAAATCTACACATAATAAAGTAAGTATCAAATAAATAAACTCTAAACCACAAACCAGTCTAAAACTAGCATAATGTCATACATTTACACAATACTATTACCGAGTGATGTGTACACCGAAAGGTAACAGCGCTTTTATTCTGAAAGAAAGATGTCAACACTAGAAACAGTCCTCTGTTTATTGTGGTTAACTTAACGTACCTGTGGAAGCTAATGCTGCCTTCATGTTCCACCTGTAAACTCACCTTTTCACTATATGAAGCCGTATACATTTATACAAAGCCATTTGTATATAAATATACTACACCCAATTCTTATTTAAGGCTATTTTAGATAAAGATTTGGAGTATTTGCTTGTAACAGTCGGACAATAATATACAAATATGTGTTTGTTAGATAAATATTAGTCCAAATGTAATGTCATGTTCAAGAATATCTAAAAAGCTTGTGTCAATTGTTATGTTCTTTGGCGTGCAAGCACTTAATATTTTATCCTACTTCGTCAATTGTGACAATTTTTTATGTACTCAATGCTGTTTTTATAACGTTATTATAAATGTACGCACCGTTAAAACTTTCTGACAGCTTCTAATTTTTGTCGGTATAGGGCGGGACGATAATCTAAGATCTGCAACCTGATTGGGTTGTAAAAACACTTTTCCCTCCTACATTTCATCCAATTGGTCAGTAAAAAAGTAACGCTATATGATCTTTGCCTGATTGGCTGTTGGTCACGCCAGTAATCTAGCAAACTTCCGCCTTGAGAAAAAAAATGTACTGTGCGGCTTTCACTGACTGTGACACGGGAACGTCCTTCCCTGACGCCTTGGATGCTCACGGTATGTACCTATGAGGGATTATGTTATTAGCTGCGCCTCTGGTGAGCTGTACACAGAGCTGGAGGCTGGGAGGTGTCGTTTCACAGCTCTGCCCTTAGTGTCCGGTTGACCGAGTGATGCTTTGATGTGAAATGACAGATCAGGCTGAGCTAGGCTAGCTCTGTAAGCTAGCTAACGTTAGCATGCTCGTGTCTGAGGGTTGGTGGTTGCTTGTTGAGGCTGAACTTGGCCTCTTTTTAACAAGAATTTCAAAGACAGATCTCAGACCTACTCTGGAGTTTACGGGAAAGCGAAAAAAAAAAATGGTGACAAGGTTAATTCCTGGCCTCAGCCTCCTGAGGCTAACTGCCTAGCTTTCTGCTCACCTTACAGTCAACTCTGCTTGAACTAGCACCCTCTTTATCATCAATTATTTGCCCTGTCTGACATGGACACCCGTAGATATTTCATTTGATAGTTTTGCTCCAAAGAGAAAGGAAAAATTGAGCCTGTTTGTCATGTTGCGAAAGGACCTGCAGTTTGTCATGTGCAGTAGCCCCACTGTCTGCATACCAGACAGTGTAGATAGGTAAGTAGCTGGCACATTGTCAAGTTGCCCTGCTGCTTAACACTTAATGCGAATTGGTTTCACCAGGTTAAAGCATGAACCTGCAAGTTAATTACATGCCTTGAGGGTATTTCACTGGGCGTTGGAATGATGAACGTGTCTAATGATGCCAGCTATAAAGAAGGAGGCTGCTCCTCTGATAATTTACAAATCTTGTGTCTTATCTATGGCAGGACAGTAAAACTGCAGTCAGCCAGCGGACCAGTGTGAAGCTCAGGAGTGGATGACTACAGACGGTCCATCAGCGAGCCCTGAGCTGGCTGATCTCAGAGCAGAGAGGAAACCTTATTTTGGGTGAATGTGAGGGAGCTTTGGAGAGGTGTTGCCTGAAGGCGTTTCGATTTCTGAGATGTCATTCAAACAAGCAGACGGGATGTCCATCGCCCAGGCTTTGGCCATGACTGTAGCGGAGATACCAGTCTTTCTCTACTCCACATTTGGGCAGGTAAACCGCTTTGAAAATTCATATAAGATTGTCCTCTGGTCTAGCTTTTAATATTACTACGGTGATTTTATAGATTAGCACATTCCATTAAAGACAACAGTGTTAAGCAGAGCTGCAACAATAATTGATTAGCCGTCAAAAAACTACTTTGATAATCAATTAATGAGTTTGAGTTTCTTGTTTTTTTAAAGGTATATTTTCTCAGATTCCAGCTTCTTAAATGTGAATATTTTTCTGATTTCTTTACTCCTATATGACAGCAAATTGAATATTGTTGGGTTGTAGGCAAAACAAGATGCTTTATGATATCATCTTGGGCTTAGGGAATCATTAGTTGACATTTTTCACCATTTCTGGCATTTGATAGACCAAGCAACTAATCAGTTAATCAAAAGAATGACTGAGAGATTAGAAAACATTGTCGGGATTAAAATTAATCATCAGTTGCAGCATTAGTGTAGAGTTACATCGAAGCCATCTAAGGCAGGAGGACATTATTATCATTTTAAAAAAATTAACTATTTAACTTTGATATATAGAGATACAACTTTAGAGGTTAAATCAGTGACAGGAGAGGGGCTTTAAATACTAATCGCTGTCTTGTGCAAATTTGCTCATTAAAAGTAGGCAAAATTCGTTGTATGTGAATATCTTTTCTACTGACAGCTCATGTTTGGTCATATCCTCACTGTCTCTACTCCTTTCAGTCCATATTTTCCCAGCTAAAGCTTACACCGAGCTTGAAGAAGGTGCTGTTCGCCACAGCGCTGGGCAGTGTAGCTCTGGCTCTCACTGCTCACCAGCTGAAAAGACGAGGGAGAAAGAGAAAGCAGGTAACACAAGGAAAGGAAGGTCAGAAAACAGTGGGGATACCTGAGGCGCTGCTGAAGACAGGAAGGCCTTCGTCATTAAAGAGAGGTGTGCATGACCGAATGCTGGAAATGTTTAAATCATGACTTTGTGGTGTGGTGTGTCGCATCTTTCAGTGTCTACTTAGATACATCCAGATATATTTATTATTTGTTTCTGTTTTGTTTTTTTCACTTCCACAGGTCAGTTTACTGGTCGACAGATGATGAGCCCCAGCACTCGGAGCAATGACACCATGAGTGGAATTTCTTCCTTGGCTCCCAGTAAACACTCCAGTTCCTCCCACAGCCTGACATCTGTTAGTTTCATCCTAATAGTTTTTCTTTCTTTTTTTTCTTGTTATGTGTGCTTGTTTTTTCCCTGATTATTCTTTGATGTGTCTTTCTGGCATAGATGCGAGTCCCCAGCTCCCCAAATCAATCTGCAAATCCGTCCACCCCCTGGGAGGCAGAGCCTGTGGTGGAAGAGTCAGGGGCCATGGAGGACGCTAATGCAGAGAATCTCTATATAATGGGTAGGTTTATTTATTTATTTTTTTAACCATCATTTATGTTTTTATAAAACCATAGTATGCATGCTGTGTGTGGAATTTGGACTATTGCATGAAATATTTTTGGTCAAAAGAAAGATAGACTCTGCTTAGCCATAAGTACTTTTTATTCCTAAATATCAGTGGACTGTAAAAACTAAATAATTAGTTTAGAGGACAGCTGTTAAAAAAATGAATGGTACAAGGGTTTGTACACATTGGCTTAGTAAATTCAGATCTTCATTTGGTTTGAATTACCCAAGCTCTTTGCATTTTGAGCATCTAAAAGCTACCTTTTATGTCTTTTCCCTATTTCATACTGACATTTAAGGGACAGTTCAGCCTCTTTAAAGTGAGGTTTTATGAGTTACGTATCCATAGTCAGTCATCTACTTGCGGTCAATGATGGTTAACATGCTCTTGGCTTGGAGAGGCAGACAGGAGTGCTAGTAGTGAAGGCTAAGCAGTGAACCGCTGTGGATGGGATCAGCAAGAATGTATTTTAGCCTTCCAAGAAAAAGGCATAAGTACAAAAAAAAAAAATCAATATTTAAGTGTTCACTATATTTAGAATATTTTCGCTTCACCTTCTTGTCAGATGGCTCTTTTCAATTGGGAGCTGAAGCTTTTATATCTGTTCATTCTCACATCAAAACAGCAAGCCTCACACTGACAAAACCAGTCTTTTACCTTAGCTTGGGTCCAGACTAAAGTGTTACAGAGCCCATGTTATACCTTTTAGGGTCTTCCCTGTCCTTTAGTGTGTCACATAACATTTTAATTTACCAGCTCACAAACAGGCAGTTTGTTTAAGTCTTATTCCTCTTTCCCTGCTAGGAATGGAGCTGTTTGAGGAAGCTCTGCGAAAGTGGGAACAGGCCTTGAACATACGCCATCCCACCAACTCGACCTCCAGCAGCAACAACAGCCTCGCTCTGCAGGGGGCAACGTGTGGAGACTTTCCCATGGTAACCGTCAAACCATCATTACAGGCTCACAGTGTTTGAATCTCTTGTGCACACTTGAAAATCAGACATGTTGTTGTTTTGTTATATAGCTGGAATTTTACAGACTGTAACTTTTGATGGTGCTGGTTTGCTCAAAGGTGACACAGAACTAATTATGTACAACTGAAAGAAATTAAACAGATCCTGATCTTAAGCTATTTTTTACATAATATTAAAGCCACATTTGACCTGTTTTATTCTTTTTTTGTTTTGGTTATAGGTTGAAGCTCGTAATAAAGTGTTTGCTGAGAAGTTAGAGACGCTGCTGCACAGGGCGTACCATCTACAGGAGGATTTTGGCAGCAGTATTCCAACAGAAAGTGTGCTGGCAGACTTTGGTAAGAGTTGATCTGTAGGTATCTGTGACCTTAGAATGCAACGGGGATTTTAGCGATCAAGAAGAATGACTTTAGATTCTAAGCTCAGAGTTTAGTGCTCTATCAGTACATACAGCTATGTGTACGTTTGTGCTTTATTTCTTGCGTTGGGAGTTAGTTTGTGTTGTTCCTTTTTGCAGAGAGTGAAGGGACTCTGATCTTGCCACAAGTGGAGAGTTTCCACAGACTGCAAGACGATGATGCAACTACCGTTACCTCTGATGACTCCTTCTTCTCGGCTGCAGAGGTGAGTCCCTTTCTGCTCCAAAAAGATCGGCAGAAAGCAAAAAAATCTGTATGTAGCAGCAGTACACACCTGAGTCTTGAAAACCTGAAAACACATTCACATTCTGCTCTTCTATATACAATAAAGGGCTCCTATAGAGTATGAAAAAGTAATTATGGAAGTTGTTAGACATTTCTAGGTTGGCATTAGTGTGGAAAAATGAGTACTTTAAATATTTGTGTTTACAGATCAGTAAAATACAAAAGTTCTAATTTCTAAGAATAACATTTTCATGGTATTTCCAGCTAGCAGCTAGCTAGCTAGCAAAATGTTTACCATTGAGGGAGAGATTGTGGGCCACAGTGAGCTTCAAGGCAAGACGTACGGCACATGAATTAATGTAAACTCCTACGCAGAGCTGTCTCTATGCCTGACCAGCAGTTTGAAAGAAAATGCAGCGATACCTTTGAATTTTATATATACATACATGGCATCCCAAATACTACATTATTGAGCTTGTCAGAACATTTATGAGTGATGCAGTGATTTAGTTATCATAAAAGTCAACGGACCGTCTTTTTTCTGTGTAAGGAAAACTGTTATTACTGTTCACATCCATTGTTTATTCCACTGACACAGTGAATAAACAAAGCTGCACAGAATTACTTATCTTCATTCGACTCATTTTCAGCTCTTATTTATAAAAGAGACTCAAAAAAGAGGGAGGAAACAAGAATAAAATAATGTTTATTCAATATGTTTCAGACTGTTTTAGCATTGCAGCTGACATACAAGCTGTGTACTGAATTTGTCTTGTTTTGGGGTTAAATAGTATGACTACTTCTCACAATTGTTGACAACATAATAGCAAGTATATTCAGAATGCAATGTTAACAGGTAGATTTCTATAATGAAACATTTAGTTGTTTGTACACAGATGTCAAATATTGTCTGAAAAATCTGCGAGGAGTCTGGAAAAAAATGGAATTTTCTTCTTGGACTGTGCACTGAGTTGTGTGTGTTTTGTATGTGCAGCTGTTTGATGCCATGTCTCTAGAGGAAGTCTATCGGCCACTGAAGCCGGCAGCCCTCTATGAAGAAGCCTCGTCTCTGGTCCAGGAGGGCAAAGTGGCCTTTAGGTCCCTGAGGTAACTGCCAAGTGTGATGTCTTTATCTAAACACTTGAATGTTCTTATTGTTATAACAGTGTATTAAATGACAGCACATAATCATGGGGTTACTCTGCAGCCCCCCTCAGCACAGTAGGCAACTTTTTCAACAAAACAAATTCTAATAAACTTACTGTATGCTACCTGTCAGCCCCAATAACAGAGAGTTCAGAACTAACTGTGGCTCAATAAGCAGCTTTTCTCCACTTTGGAGGCCAAAAACAGCTAAAGGGAGTAATTTGCTGAGATGGCTTATAATTGTTCGGCGGTCAGCAACGTGACTCCATGTGAATGCGATTTACTTTCTGGATGTGTAAATAGACAACTGTTTGCTACCATGCTTGCCATTTCAATTTTAAAAGGGAATAATATATGAGTGTTGTAATGTTGTTATGTCCTGCTGCCTCTAAGTGGTCGAAAATCAGCTTACACTCCTTCAAATTATACAACAGTGTAGAGAAGAATTAGGGTTTGTAGAGTTTCATAAGCTTTTCTCTTTTTCATTCTCTTCTCTTTTCTCCCAGGACTGAATTACTTGAATGTTACGGTGACCAAGACTTCCTTGCCAAGCTTCACTGTGTGAGACAAGCATTCCAGGTCAGTGTCAGCGCACAGGACTTACTGATGTGTCATCGTCTGGTCTGGTCAATTTCAGATTGTGATGACAACTCGTCTTTTTTTTGTTTTGTTTTGGTTTTTGGGAGTCTCTTATATGTTTTGAAATTTGCACTGTTGACAGTCTACTCCAACTGGTGCACTGCTACCTTGTATGGCACGTTATAACCAAGTATTATCAGCTGTAGTTGGCAAAAATGTTGACTCATTTGTAAACCAGGGAGGAAGCCACTCATTAAAGCACTGCTCTGCAGCTAGTCAAAAGCTCCACAGGGTGGCGTGTAATGGCACTCATTTTGGTTATAAATGAGCCTGAACTGGGTTCCTTTTCACAGACATTATCGTTCCTGTAAAACTTTTAAGGCCAGTTCATGCTTTCCACATCCGCAGGAATCCATAAGGGTCTGCCTGATGTAAATTTGGTCATCTACTTAAGTCCTTCCGAGTCTTTGCAGACCCGTCTGCAGATGTCTAAAATTTGTCTCGGTGCAGACTGTCCATGCTGCAAGTGCACTGAGTGCTGAGGCTTTAAATAATTGCTTGTTATGAGGAGAGCTTGTGGGATGTGATCCACCATCATCCTCACTTTTAGAATTCATCATTAACAAAGTTGTAATTTACTTTGTGGCTGCCAGACTTTGGAGATGCTTTGATTTGTAACTGCTAAGAAACAGTGGGAAGTTTTCCACAAATCCTTACGTCCGCCCAAAGTGCCCGACACACCTCAGGAAGAGTCATATTGATGTAGTGCTGTATCCTGTAAAAAAGAGCAAAGTCGCAGCCAACCTTTCAGAAACATCCACAGGTGGTCTGTGTGTTTTTTGTGTCCCGTCTGAGGAGCACCTTCTGTAGAACAGATAGAACCGAGTCTGTCTACTTTTAAAGTCTGCACACATGCCTGGGACTAATATGGATCTTGAATGGTCTGATCTCTAATGGACAGCTCTAAGTTCATCAGTACACATTGCATTAGAATTCTTCTCCACATGTGTCTCGAGTCTCTTCCGCTCTAAATGCTCATAACCACGTTTATTTTATCCATTTCAAAAGACGAACTGCCACAATCCTGCATGGGTCCAACTTAACTACCTCGCATCTGCCCACTTCCACATTGGTCAGTACCAGAACTGCTTTGTTGCCAAGTTCTGACCTGCCCCGGCTCTCTAGTCCCACAACCTGACCAACGATTTAACATATCGGCACCACAGTCACTTAATTTTAAGACTCCTCTGTCCAAATGTTGTTTTTTTTATATTCTTGAAGACATTGAATGAATTAGATAAGCAGTTTTGAAACAACATGCATTCAGACAATCAGGGCTTCAAATGGAACAAACCTAAGGATCCAATACTGTCAGCCTGCAGGGTGAGGCTCATCATTATTCTTATTCAGAATCAGTGTGTGGGTCAAGCATGTATGGCTGAATTACTTCAATATGACAACTGGCCATTGTGCGGCATAGAATAGTTTTACATTGTCTGAGCAGAGTCATAGCTGGTATGCAGGCATTGCAGCAAGCAGCGGAGGCGTGGTTTAGATAAAGGCAGAGGCTTTACAGATTGACTTTCTAAAGAAAACAACAGTGTAGATTTTAATCTAAGGCATGAAGGGACTGTTGTCATGAAAAACAGCTTCTAAAAATGTAACTTTGACACACAGAGATCATTTTTGAGGGGTTTAATCAATGACTAGAGAGGCACTTTAAAGTGCTCTATTTTTACTCCAGCCTTCAGCTAAATGAATGACTAATAATAGCCACAGATACCTGACTCAGTGCACGACTCTGCCAGATGTATTGATTTCACCAGCAGGAGGCACGTCAGTTAAGTCGGCAGTCCTTCACTGTGGATGAAGATATTTTTAAAGGTATACTGCTAAAAGAATGTGGCCATTTGTGGACCACATCCGAATGTAATCTGCGTGATCAGATGTTGGTGTGCTGTGGGTGCTTTCACACCTGTACTTAGAACTTGTGATCTTATCAATGCTCAGTGTAAGCAGGGCCCTAGATGAGCTGAAAACAGTGGGGAACATCTTAAGCTTTTGGATGATGCTACTCCTAACAGCTAAACCGTTTATGTCTGATTTCCAATTTTCCATTTTGCAGGTTATGAGTAACGTATGGAAGTGCAGTGATAGATGATGAATTGTGATGTTTGCAAGGAACAAAAATGTTGCCATTTGTCATGATAGAAGCAAATATCTTGTTCTCTTTCTGTGGACTCATCTCTGATCTCATACGCAATGAGAACCCTGCAGAAACCTTCAGACGACCCTTAGTGTGTAATATCGTGCCTCTGTGCAGGTGTAGTGTTTGCACCCACAGACAGCGAGTCAGGTTTCTATCCTAAAGTGACATCCAGACAAAAGCTAGAAGGCCAGCTCAACAGACAGCAGCTACAATCAGGACGAGTGACTCATAGTGTTTTTTACACATAAAAAAAAAAAAGACATTATCTGTGTTTGTCTGCACAGCTTTTGATTTTTAGCTTTCATCAGAATGGAAGCCCTTCTGATTTACAGCAGATGTGGACATTTGCAGAGCTGGAGTTGAAGGGAGCTGTTGAAGATGATTCACTGTTATGTTGGAGCTGAATGCCATTTTGAAGCATATTAAAGGCACTTAAGAATAGATAAGATGTGCCTTTATTAATACCAACCCTTTACAATTCAAATTAACACAACGTCACAAGGAAATGTATCAGAGTCAAAGCAATGAAATCTCCATATATTACCTATACATAAAATATAGGAAAAATAGGAATGCTAGCAATAAAATACATTGACATTGACATAATGTAGTTGGTATTTACACGTTAAATATCTGTGATATGACAAATAACCGTGAGTTGTTGTAAGTCTCAGTGGAGGTTGGATGATGCTGTGTTGCGGAGTCGAATGGTTGATGACACGAAAGAGCCTCTCGTGGGTTTTGAGGCACGTGACAGCATCAGTCTGTGGCCGAACGAGCTCATGAGACGCTTCAGACTCAACAGTAACTCAGGACTCTGAAGGAATCAAATCTCCATTTTTATAAACTAAAACAAATTACTAAGAATGTTACTATACACCAATAACACCTGTTTTTCTCCAGGTCCTGTTGTTAGATGAAACTCACCGCACGTTTTTCATGGAGACCGGGAAGCAAATGATCGCAGGGTTAATGGTGAAAGCAAACAAGGTAAAACACTCTTCACTGGGATCCTCAGTTATTAACTCATCCTATTTGGATAAACTTAACAGAGGTTTGCTTTTGTTGGCATACTTATGCTGCTGCAACAACTCTATTTATTTATTTGCTTTCAGAGTCCCAAAGCATTCCTGGAGAGCTACGAGGACATGCTGCTTTACACCCAGAGAGAGGAGACGTGGCCCGTCACCAAGATGGAGCTGGAAGGCCGAGGGGTGAGTAATCTGAGTCAAGCTATCGAATCTCCTTTTTCTTTTCTTTTTAAATCTAGTTTTTCAGTTATTGCACCTGTTGTCATAAACACACATCGGTGTATTTTGTGTGCTGTTGTGAATTTGTTGACTTTGTCAGACCTGGTTATACAAATCAGACCTGTGGGCGTACAGTTGGATATCGATGGTTTATTCATGGTAACGGTTGCAGGGCAGCTCAGGTTTATGTCACAGGGTGCTTTACTCAGTTTAAAGTTCATTCTTCAGGTCCTACTGTTGTTGGCTGTGTGTTTGGCAGCCTGGTAATAGTAATCTGTCTTCGTTTAACTGCAATATGTTTTAGATACTACAGGAAAAAAATAGATGTAGTGTTTTTTGTAAATGTATTGTATTTGAGTTGCCCATGAATGGCTTCAATGCCTTTTCTTCCTTGTGTTTTTTTTCTTCCTCATTTGTGTATTGGTTGTCTGTGTGGCATATAAAACAATCAGGGCAAATATAATAACGTAGATTAAACACACAGTGCACATGCGTTTATGCACCAGACATGACTCTGTACCTCGACATGTAGGTCTGATAGTAAATCAGTGCATGAATTAAACTTTTTAAATCGTTCTTACAGGATTATTTGTCTCGTTGTTAGGTCCTACACTTAATAGCATTGTTAAAAAGTTTAGTTTTCTGATACAGCCCAGTTCTTTTATTGCTGTTTGATTTTAAAGTGTTACTGCGTTTACTGTATGTGCCTCAGCACCACTGAAAATGACAGTTTCCCTTCAATGTGCTCCCCAAGGTTTTAATATTTAACAAAAATATACACGCAGCACTTTTGTTTTTGCTCCTATTTTTCATGAGCTGATCTCAAAGATCTGTGCCTTTTTCTATGTACACAAAAGGCCCATTTCTCTCAAATATTATTAACAAATTTGTCTAAGTTTGGCAGGACCTGGTGTGACCACCATTTGCCTCACGCAGTGCAAAACATCTCCTTTGCATAGAGTTGATCGGGTTGTTGATTGTGGCCTGTGGATTGTTGGTCCACTCCTCTTCAATGGCTGTGCGAAGTTGCTGGATATTGGCTGGAACTGGAACACGCTGTCATATACGCCGATTCAGAGCATCCCAAACATGCTCTTACATGTCCGGTGCGTACGCTGGCCATGCAAGAGCTGGGATGTTTTCAGCTTCCAGGAATTGTGTACAGATCCTTGCAACATGGGGCCGTGCATTATCATACTGCAACATGAGGTGATGGTCGTGGATGAACGGCACAACAATGGGCCTCAGGATCTCTGTGCATTCAGAATGCCATCAATAAAATGCACTTGTGTTCGCTGTCCATATCATATGCTTGCCCATGCCATAGCCCCACTGCCACCATGGGCCACTCGATTCACAACGTTGACATCAGCAAACCGTCACCCACACGACGCCATACACAGCGTCTGCCATTTGCCCTGTACAGTGAAAACCGGGATTCATCTGTGAAGAGAACAACTCTCCAAAGTGCCAGACGCCGTCAAATGTGAGCATTTGCCCACTCAAGTTGGTTACGACAATGAACTGCGGTCAGGTCGAGACCCTGATGAGGATGACGAGCACAAAGATGAGCTTCCCTGAGACGGTTTCTGACAGTTTGTGCAGAAATTCTTTGGTTATGCAAACCGATGGTTGCAGCAGCTGTCCAGGTGGCTGGTCTCAGACGATCTTGGAGGTGAAGATGCTGGATGTGGAGGTCCTGGGCTGGTGTGGTTACACGTGATC